TAGTGCTTCGACCTCCGCTCGACTTAAATATTTTTGCTTCCGCGCGAAAGGTAGTTTTATTCCGGTCGTTCTCGCTTATTCGCCACTCATCTCTGTCCGTTTATATGTATCGCTCTACCGTATCCCGTCTGGCTCTCCCGAGGAAACGCGGTATTACTCTCGCGAGTACTATCAGCCGCGACAAATCGCGAGTCGACATCCGAGGTGAAATCAGAAATTCGTAACGTTTGACGAGTCGCCGTTTCTTATCGACTTGCCGAAGGGCGCGATATTTTTCCCCTTTGCAGTGGAAAGCAGCGGTATATACGCGTCATGAAGATATCTCGTCGGGGAAATAGCATCTCCACCTATTACGCGGGAACACAGATAGATTAGGTGTACCTTATTCGTCTTCCAACGACCGGAACTCCTCGTCGTTCTTCATCCTCTCCGGTCTCGCCGCGCGCGGCATGCAGCACGCGCGTTCTTATCTTATCCTCGCTTTTTCACGACCGCGAGCTTCCCCCGTACGCGGCTCGTGTAAGCGACGCATGCAGTTTCTCTTCGAGGGAGTGACGCCTCTCGCCTGCGGGACGCGAATTTTTCTTTATCCAGTTCCCGTTTTCCCGCGGACTCGCTTTCCCCGACGGTCTTCTAGCGCGTAGCCTGCAAGTCGCAATTAATTTTCCGTCCGCGCGAGAACGCGTCCTCCCGGCGGCGATAAATCAAGCAACGGAGTTTCAATTTGGCGCAACGAGCCGTAGCCACGCCGAGAATTCTCATTACGAAACGCATGTCGTTAATCAATGGAATCGGTTGCCCCTGTGTCCCAGGCGGAAAAACGCTTGGGCTTTGTACACTGTTGCGACGTTCTGTGATGTGATGGATGCAGCGAATTTATTTCATGCCACTTGACGATTTCCGAAATCGTATACAAAACTGTTACATAGAGGAGATTTTCGTCGCAATTCAGCTTATCTATATATAAACTTATTTAAGCTCTTTTTTTATGCACTCACGTGCAAAAATACGTTGCAACATGTTGAACGTATTTTTTAACGGAAAGTTTTGAAAAATAACGTGAAAGCTTGCTACGTTACTGTAGCTCTTTATGAAAACTTATTTTTTAAATTTTGTATCATGTCGCGATATAAACATGCAGGAAAAGTGTCGCGTTTAGTTACAGTATTGCTGTGAACGCTGAATTTCCCGATGCGGCGCACACTGTTTAATCTCGATATCGACGACGGCACGGAGGTCGAAAAGTTTCGCACGTAGCGCAATGTCAGTCGAGTAACGAGGTCGTTTGCGCCCGCGAGCGCGCACGCTCGATCGGATAGCTTGCTCGGCATCTTGCTTACAAGACACGTAGCATCGGCAGGGGTTATCGAAAATTTAATAACGTTCAAATTAATAATGCTGGTGTTGCTGCGCGCGACGGCGGGTGTGAGAGACGGAACGCTACATCGCGGAAGAGCAATCGGGCTAATAACGCACCGGTTGGAGCGGACGGATAAATTAAATTAATCATGCATCATGCAGGAGCCGGGACGTTAGATCCGATCGTACATTAACCGAATAAGCCGCGCTAAATCTTCCCTTCCGGGCACAATTGACTGAAACGAGAAGACTCTTGCGATAGACATTGACGTAATTTATATCGATTGGCAGTATGTATTTTGATAAGATTCACTCAAACTTATTGATTTCGTATTTTAACGATATGTGTGCCATAATGATTATTCGGTTAACGTCACGCGACATGTCAATTTTCCTGACGAATTTAAATAACCTGCGATATAAGTATATTAATAAAAATGTTTAATGTAATCGAGCTGTTATCTATTCGTAAAGGAATCTCGTAAATAACTCATTCTTTTTTACTCTGTTTTATTTTTTAATGAAGTTTTCTAAACCATGTCTGAACTTTGTAATTGGACATGGCGTTACGTGTTGACGAGCTTACTTCTAAGCGCTGTAAATCATCAGGGAGTCATGCCGTGTGGGCGATAGTTGCTGCTGCGAAAAAGATATTCCGTTGGTCATTAACGTCCGAGCAGGAACTTCTCCATCCGGCAGTCGTTATCGCCATTCGGAGGCTCGCTTCTGCTATTTTCACGGATGCACCGTTACGCTCGCCGCGAGAATATAGCGTTTAAGTTTCTCTCTTGCATCAATTTCAACTTCAAATTCAAACTCCGCGCGTGTGAATAATATCTTATGACTTATGAGGACCGCCGATATAAATTTTATATTAGAACAAGGACAGATAATGAAAATATAATAGAATAAAATCTGTGCTAATTTCTATGGCTGTAAAAAGTAAATTATATTCTTCGAAAAATTTTATCGTGTGGTGAGCATTTCTCAATTATTTTTAGTTACAAATTAAAAGGGTTTTTTGACTGAGATTTTAGCGGTTATTCAATTTTTTTCTTTCAATGTTAATTTAAAAAATATATTTCTCTAATAAAATTAAAAATATTCTGATAAAGTTAACAACGTTTCTAGATTTTAAATTATACCTGAAAAATGTGCATGTGCACGTGACGAATATGTTTCTATTTAACGAAAAAGGTAGTAGAGCCACCCAGCGGGCCATTTATTAGTGCATCTAATAACACTCGACAAAAAGGGAAAAAGCAATTTCATGCGATACGAATGTGGGTTGTGAAAATGAATGAGACTCGCGCATATATTGTTGCACCGGCTTTGGCGTATGGTTCGGCAGCGAAGTTGTCTATGAAAATTTTAATTGGACTGCGCATATATGAATATCACGTATAACATGTCAGACTAATCGGGTAATCTACTCGTCTCGCTGAAAGAATCAACGTGCCTTTTAGCTTAATTGTTTCTTTGACCTCGCTCGCCTGCCGCGCTAATACTATTAACTCCTTATAGTCTCAACCATTAGAAGCTGGTTCTGGTAGAAGGAACGATAAGGATACCCGGCATCTAGGCAGAGACAATGGCGCGTTGTTTTCCAAAAGAAAATAAGGACGTCCGACTTTATCCGTTGCCCGATTAGTTCTTCCGGTACCATCAAGTTTATCTCTTTAGATCACGCGATGCGCGAGAGCAAAATAAACAATTTACTTCCTGTTAATATAATCAATACTATCTTAAAACTGTTTTTTCGAAGTATTCTTTAGGGTAAACTCGGGTAAGATAACCACAGAAGAAAGATGGCCAACCCATGTTTCATGGCGAGCTTAGATTGAAAGAACATAAGTTGGCATCTTACCCGAGTTTATCTTATTTGGCAATTTTCTGGCATATTTTTCTTCTGCGTATGATGCGATGACGAGTTAACAAGCTGCTTTGCAATCTCTGCGGCTCGATAATTAATCGTCCGACCAAATCTGTGACTCGATCATTTAATATGTTTTCTGTGCCAACCAAACGTGGTCACGTCTTCACCAAGACAAGTTGTCGACCGACGCTTCCTACTTTGGAAAACATTCAGCGTCAAGTCACTTCTTGAGGCGCTCCAATTGTTCCAAGTTCCATTACTGTTCACGGTCGAACACCGCGCATGGAAGAGCTTGTAACTTGATTCGTTTTGGCCGTAGAGGATCTTTAGCCAGTGGGTATTTTCGCGTTTCGGGCAAAAACGAAACGTGTCGCAGCTTAGTACTGCACGAATTCTCGCAGATTCCGCGCTTTGCTCGAATTACACGGAATTCTTAAACACGCAGCGTATAGCGTAGTAGCGTAATTGCAAAAACGCGATACGACGGTAATTAACAAGAAATCGTGCCGCGACGTCAGAGTCAAATGAGATATGGTTTTTCGCAGCTACATCGTGCCGTTTGTGTGCAGTATCTCAGTTTTTAAACGTCACGCTATTTTTACCCACGACCGAGGTAGCTTCCGTGAAACAAATTCGTCTAATCGGATATGATAATCCAGTTTTAAAATTGTATTGCGGTATTATAACCATTTAATAGAAAACGAGAGAATTTATTATTTTCTATCTATTAAAAAATCTATCCTTATCATAATAAAAACGTTGAAGATACACTATCAAATAAAAATGGAACACGTCACGATAAAAATAGATATGTAACTTCTTTTAAACGATACTTTTCATCTCGTAATTGATTTAGTTTAGTGAAATAGCATTTATTACTTTGTTGAGCGAATTAATATAGGATTATTAATGCAGATATTGAATACCGAAGTATTTAACATATGCTCGCAAATAATACTAATATATTAAATTTACGACATTGTATACATGTTAGTAATCACTTTTTGAAATTACATAAACGGCAACAATTGGATGAAATATGAATATCGATTAATAAAGTAGAAAATTAATCACTTTTAATCGGATAATCGATCTTGTAGAGTGTGCTAAGGGAAACAGCCTGTCCCGCAAGAGCGGACGCATATCAACCGATCGTTATTAATCTGCGGGAATAAGGTGGAGTTTCTAATCTGTCCCTACCGCGGCACGTTTACGGCGTAGATTTAATCTGCATTGGATTTAATTAAAATCAAGTGCTTCCACAGTGGCATACTCTCGTTGACAATTGCATGCAGATTGGATTAAGCTTGGAATTAGAACGGAGGGCGAATTCACGCTCCGCGCGAACCCGGGTGCTCGTTTGTCCATATTAATATTCGAATACGTGAAACTAGGGCGAATCACGTTGTAAACTTTCACGATAGAGATTGTCAATGGCGGCAAGATAATCAGGAATGAGTTCGAATTGTTACCATTCTTCGTGTCTGTGAGAGATATCTCTAATTTATTTAATCATTACACAACCTCTCTTTGATGTTAGATCAGAATGCTCGTTCAATACTGCTTCAATGCTTTAAAAAAAAATGTTTGTGTTAACGATATTTTATATTTAAGTCGTGTCTCACGTCTACCTCTCGGGAGACTCGCGATGACATTCTTATGCTACAAACTCGCTACTTACGATATTCGGCGATCAAAGTTTCCCGAACTCTAAACTTTCAAACGATTTGCCCGTACCTAATCGGAACTTTCATTTCTATTGCAGATCTAGGCGGCTGGTGGTTTGGAAATCTTGGAGATCTCTCGCTTTCCCGCGCATATTCCCTGCGTACGTGGGAGGTCGAAGTTTTCGTCGATAATCCGACTTAGCATCTGCCGCTTAACAAGGCAAGTGTAATTATCGGGGATACGAGAAGGACCATTTTGTGAGCAGATATCCGCCTCGTAAGGAGCGTCTCGGATAGCCTGGCCGGTTCCCAAGGTACGTATCTTACGTCTATCGCTCTCTCTCTTGATTGTATCCATGGATAACTATGCCAGATACGCTCGTCCTTGTAGCGTATCACACTGATCGAATCTTCGCTAGGGCTTGCTAAGACTTTTCCATGTTATCTATGATAATAAAACTCATCTAGGTTGGCGTCACTCACAGATAACAAAGTTGAAGCTAGAGATAAGAGACGTTAACAAGCTGTTAAAACATCAAGCATTTTGTTTTACTGACAGAGATTTAGATATTTGATTTATCAATGATAATGTCTTTCGCGAAAAATTCCTCATATTTAGATAAATAATATATTATACCGTAACTGTATATTAGTTACTAGAATTACGAGAATTTGTGCAAAATATATTTGTCTAATTGGCTTCTAAAAATATTAAATTTTTCCTCATTTATTTTGTGGATAAACTTTTAAGAGAATAATTATGATTAGGTATTATCGGCTTTGTCCTTGCAATGCATAAAGAATAGCTAGCAGAAAAGTATTACCATTTTCTGGCCAAACTATATCTCTGAGCAATGTGACGAACCGAACTCTACAAATAGAGGAAAAAGAGTTTGTGTACTCGTTACCTGTGAACGAATATATGAAAAATGCATGTCGTCGAGAGAATCGTTATGCTAATTTGTGAGGAAAACTATGGTTTCGTACACCGAGGTTGGTACGTGATCTGTATGCCGTGGATACACGTATATACTAACACGTATGTTTATTCATACATATACATACCTGTTGTGTAATTAAAGCTGTCCATTAGATCGGTGTGATAGGCCGTTTCTTCGTTTGCTCAATCCATTTCTATCGCGTGTCACTTCTATTTCGCTAATAGAGAAGTACTCAACCTGATTTCAATCTGTGAAAAACTACAGTGGGGATAATTCTATGTATAACAATGGCGTTAATTTGAAATGCCACTCCAATATTTATCTTCAGTAATTATGTAATTATTTTCTTATTATAAGAATACCTATGTATTTGTGTATGCGTTTGTGACTCGGTTTATGAGTTATATAATTTATATACACGTGAAACTTTTTGCCGTGATGAACGGTGATAAATAGTATTTTTGCCTTACTCTCTCGGCAAAGAGCTTTTTGCTTTTAATATATACATTACTGCAAAATATTTCATTTACAAATATTTGAGTTATCGTGCATGCTGCAACATCAAGGAGCAGCCGCGTTTTCTAATTTATGTTTATGATTTTTAGTGCTGGGTAGAGACTTGCGTACTCGGTCGTAACTAACACGAGAATTAGCATAAAAGAAAATTTTTATAATCGCTTACACATCTCACGTTCTAGAATTTAAAATTATTTAAAAAAAGATTATACATTTTTTGTTTATTGTCTTAAATATAATTGCGAAGATTTGTGCACCTTTATCTTTGTTCAATTTACTAGAAGAGAAGTTATCTTTTTCATAATTAATTACATTAAATATAACGTGTTAATTAACGACTGTATCCAATTTGTGGAGATCTCTGATCTTTGTCAATGTCGTGATTGCTCTTGTACGTACACTTCTATTGATAATTATTCACGAACATACCGTGCTTATCGCACGGTTATTTATATACTCCGACGTGGAACGAAAAAGGGAACAATCGATCGCTTCTGTAACTCAGCCACGTCGACCAGCCTTGAAAATTCTGGACTTCATTTCCGCTCCCCGCAATTTGAGTTATACTTGGCGAGACTAACGACCCTTTAATTATTCACCTCTAATTGCGAATGCTCCTTGTTACTGGAACGCATGCATTATACGTGGAACGCGTGTTACATCCGTTTTCATGACTGTCTACAGTACCTTTCCGTTTCATCCTAGTGAAATTCAAATTTCAAAAATACACGCATTTATTAAATATTAAAATATGAGTATTAACAAAGAAATAATATGCATATGTAACATATAATACACACATATATATGTGTGATTAAACTATCTTGATAAAGGTTCTTTTAGATTGAGTTGTAATAACTTTCAAAATGATAAATATTTATTATTATTTATAGATACTGTCAAACTCATTTAGTTGATTTGATAAACTGTCGATATCAATTCCCTTTGTGCTCTAATTTCTAAGATCGTGTTTATAGCAATTGCTCCGCGAGAATGTAGGTGTAATAATTTTATGCCTTGGCCCGCAACGTCGCTGTCGACGTACGATCGGTTTTATGATGCGTTTGATTATAATCCCGGTTAATTTTACGATGCAGGTGGTCTAACTGGACTATCGTATCTTCTGGTTTATAGTAATTAGATTTATTCAATGTTTTGCGATATGATCGAATTAACCGTTAATTAATTTTCAATTCGCCTTGATGCGTGACGTATCGGTTAAAGCGCGATTGTTTAAATTATAAATTATTAATGTGCGCTAATATATTTTTTCAGTATTCTTTACTATTCTGGTCAGATTAATTTGATAAGAACAAATTGAGACAAATTATACATAAGAAATATAATTTTAGATTTACTCATATACGGAGTAGGAAATCATGTTTCTATGTAATTATTACATAATTACATTGTTCAGTGAATTAACACATTTATTAAAGTTTGTTATCAGTTAACTATATTTATATTTAGATATATTAATAATAAATAATATATGAATATATTGGACATAAATACAGTACGGATAATACAGCATGCATTATACTGCAATACAATTATGTTCTATTAATATAGATAATATATAATTTTCTATTTTAATGCACACATTATGCACATATTAATATAATTCTATGAATATTATTATTATTATATATTATTTTTTAATATGCTTTTATTCTTTATTTATACAAATGAAATATTCGCTTTGGAGCATTCTCGCGTTTGTTGCAAGCCTAGTGGAAAAAAGCCTAAATCGTCCTAATTTCAAATTTAAATTATTGCCTCTCGTTTTATACGCAAGGATTCAAATTGAAAGTACTTTTCGGGCGTGAAGTCGTGACGGGCACTGTGTGCGTGCGTACTTCTTTTCACTGCAATGCCATGACAACGAGTGACCCGAGAGTGACGGAATTGTTCGCACTTTATTCCCCATTCCATTATTCGCGGATCGTGGAAATCTCATGCATCACAAAAGAACGACCGACCAATGAATTTACCTTGCGTCTGCCTACGTATTACTAATTCATCATCCTTCGATGTGTTCCAATCCTCTCTTTCTCTCTCGCTCGAAATTGCAAAAGTCTTAAATACGTGCATTTGAAACACGATCGAATGTCGAAATTAAAAGCGAGAGAATTCCATTAACTGAAGTAATAATTATTCCAAATGGCACACGGTTTTGTGAAATAAAACACGGGGTGGAGCACACACAAGACGTACGAAAATTGTTGGCGTAATTAAGACTATATGAAAACACGGAATATAAAGTTATTTCATGTATCGATTTATTGAATTTAATTGTTGGATACGCTCGTAAGATTTAATTTAGTTATTTTAGTTATTTCGTATTGTTATCGTTAATGTCCATAGTCTTTGTTTCGTTACTCGATGCATGTGATTTGATTCATTTCCACAGCATTCACTTTGCTTTCCGCATCTGCCATATTTTATTATCGACTTTGTCAAGCACTTTCATTTATTCGCTCATCGATTTCACGTCCGTCGTATGATGTCTCGTTCGAGAAGCGCGGAATAAGCGGAAGTGATTCCGACGAGATAGATGACGGAAACTTCGGACTCGCCGTGAGTTTCGATTATTCGCCACTGTAAATTTGTGAATACATAACGCGAACAACACGCAACTGATTCACGCTTCTCAACGCTTTATCAAGAAATGCCTTTACTCTAGCACTTCTAGCTGACTACGATTTCACGTGCGTGTCGCACGGCGGCTTTAATCTCTTCTTGCATGACACGTGTATACCGGTATGCTCACACATGCTTTCACGCATCGCTCATCGCTGTTTCCTTCTTCGCAAACCTAAGTAATTAATATGTCAACCTATAACAAAGTATTTAAAATGAATAAAATATACATATGATTAAATATTTGACAAAAAGGTTACGCAAAGCTTTTGGGGAAGAAAATCATCCATTTAGCTAGGTTCAAAATTCTTTAGACGTAACGAACGCGAGCCAGACAGCGCTCGGTCGAATTAAAAATCGCGCGAGTAGAATAAGAATGATGTTTATGTAAATTTGCTTAAAAGCGGCCGCAATTAGCCGCCTCTCGGCATTGCAATCATGCCTCCCAATTAATAAGCCGCCACGTCGCTTGCGACGCGTCACCTTCGACCGCTCGTCGGTTTTATATTAGTTGTAGCGATAGAGCCATTTGCGCGACTAACGACGTAGTTATGTGTTCGTTGTGTTTCAATCCGTTATTGCGCCGTCGTTTGATTAATATAAAGGACGCAATCGATGAAAGCGACTGCCGCGGGGTCGCGCCGTAGCAGTGCAATTAAACGTATTCCAAGAGCTTCCGTGTAAAGAATACAATAATTCTCTGCGAAAGATATAGTTGTAAAAAATATAGTCGCGTGTTTCAATCCGTTATTGCAACGCTGTTTGATTAATACAGAAGATGCACTCGACGAAAGCGAGTCAGCTGATGAATTGCGTGTAACAGCAGAGCAATTACCGTTTGAAGAAGAGGTGTAAAAAGGTTATGGGATACTAATTGTTTCAAAATAGTACCGATCGTTGAATCTCGCGAGACATTGTGATTGCGATAAAGTAACATACAATTGCTTCGTTTAATCGCGACCGCGTAAAGAAATTTCAACGCGGAATAAAGCGAAAAAATGTGCACGTATATCTGCGGACATACGCAAATGTATCTATATAAAAGCTTTTCACGCGCTATATGCGTTGCGTGTTGTTCCCGTGAATACGCCGTTACGCCGAGTGCAACGGCCGTGCAATTAAAAAGAATCTATTCCCTGAAAATGGTGAGCGTATCGAAAGATAACGAACAGCTACGGACTAACGGTTACGCGCTAACAATAACATTGTAACGA